TGTAAAAATCCAATATTTTGACATATTTATCTCAGATACCGATGAAATGTCACAACGGAATCTCCCAGGCTCCGCATTTTAAAATGTTTGCAAGTCAATGGTTGTTATTTTTTCCATCACGTTTTTTATAATTTATAATAATTAAATTCTTAAAACTTTGTTTAATTGTTGTTTTCCATTATTTTTAAAATATCTTCCTTAAGAAATGTATCAACTGTCAATCAATGACATAACTAATTTGTTGTGACATTTCATCGGTATCTAAGATAAAAATGTCAAAATATTGGATTTTTACAGAAATTTGCTTGTATTTCCGAAACCCTACTATTTAAGTATAGGGAATGGTTATAACAATCAAAATGTAATTCATTTTCCTATTTGATTATGTAAAAACATGCATACCGTTCCATTGAAAATAAACAAGTTATTAATGTTTGAAGTTAAATAAATTTAACACGATTTTAACAGCATACCAGCAAACCGAATATCAAAAAAGTTATAAGCTATTTTTAATGGAGGTGCAAGTTGCACCGTGCAACTGTCAAAATTTTACGAAAAAAATTATTAACTCGAAAACTATTAAGTTTAGGTATAAGAAATGGTACAGCAATTTCATTAAGAATTTCATGAGGAATTTAAAAATAAAAAAAATTACAGGGTGTTCTATTGGAAATAACAAAGTTGATGTCGCTTCTGGTTAAACCGGAAGAGGAATTTTATTTAAAATAATTTTAAAAGGTAGATTAAATTGTACAATAATTGCTATAAAATCTTCAAATTGATATCCTCAGCCGTTCTCCGTAAACCTCTAAGGTACCATCGCTGGTGAGACACCCTGTGTATATATATATATATATACAGCAGTGGCGGCTCGTGCCTTCCGCGCTGGGGTAGGCGACGGCCAACAAAACAAACTCTGTTTAAAAAAACTACCACATAACCATCGATGATTCTCATACCATTGCTTTTTAAACGATCGAGAAAAAGTTGAACCATGTTTTTTATCAGGTTTTAAAAGATTTAGATGTGGAATAGGGCGATCATTAATCATAACATCTTTTCGATCGTTTTCATTAAGGCGAGAAAATGGATTTTCAAGTAATGAGCAAATAATGTCATAAATTGGGCCCTCCATTATTGCAAAATAATACCCTTGTTTATTAAACAAGGCTAATAATCAACGCTAATACTACCTAATTCTAATACTAACAAATAATAATTTTAGAAAAAAAATTGTTTTTTTCGAATATCTCCGGAACCATTTATCGTACAAAAAACAGCTTTTGTAAGCATTTTCTACTCATAATAAGCTATGTTTTGTGCCAGAAAATTTTTATTTTTACTTATAATTGGTGGAGATTTTAAAGGGGTAGCGGGTGTTTTTCTCAACTTCTACGCCCCTGAAAAAAGTACGGTTTTGAGAGGCCCATTCCATCCGCCAATGTTTTCTACACAAAAAAGGTACTCTTTGTCATAAGCTCTAAAATTGACCGTTTTCAAGAAAAATCAACTTTTATGTTTAAAAACATGGTCAATTTAAAAAAAAATTTTTTTTACTAATTAAACAAAATTTATTTTAACGTTAGAACAAGTAACAAAACCAGTTAAGTTAAGTTAAATTAAATGTTGGAAATGTCCACCGTTATTTTCAATGCACGCAAAGACAACTTTTGAATTATTTTTTATTTTTTTTTTATTTTGCAATTATCGTTTGGTTTTGTTACTTCTTCTAATTTTGTTACTTCTTCTAACCTTAAGGTTACAGTATAGACAAAGAGCGGGAACCACAGAACACCAAGTTCCTACTGGTAGTAACTCTTGACCAGGTGGCTAAAGTTCCTACCAGTAGGAACTTTAGACTCGGCGACTAAAATTCCTACTGGTAGGAACTGTAGACAGTCCCTAAATTATAACCCACAAATTAACCTTCAAATTGTCATTTGACAGCCCTGATAGAATAAGGTATATTTATTATAAAAGAGGAGTAAAATGGTTGTCCTTGGCACTTAAAGGCCTTATTTGAGGCTTACAAGTGCCTATAGGCACATATACATATATGTAAGAAACACAACATTGAAAACAATTATTAACAGCACAAACCCAAAGCACAAGAATTGTAAACAAAAATGGCCGCCGTGCAGTGTTGCAGTGATTTTTAGTATTTTTAGCATGAGATAGAACAGACCTTGTTGTGTGGATTGTGGAATTGACTATACAGTGCTTGCAAATCCAAGTCCGACCACACAGGAAAGGACGGCTGTTCAATACCCGCGTGAAAAGAACAAGGATAGAACGCCAAATAGAATTTGATTGGCCAGCCGGCAGGCTACGACAACGCATACCCATCGCGCACCTCGCAGCGTGCTTGACACGAGGATATTAGAACGAGAACTGCAGTGGTGCCAGCAAGAGCCTCTTGCCAAGAGGTAGTAATTTTAGTAAAAAAGATTATTTAATTAAAAAATGTAGGTACCCGTTGGAACAAAAAGTTCAGATTTTAATCTGGCATTTTGCTGGTAATTCTGAACGAGAAATTCAAAGATTATTTGCGGGAATGTTCGAGGCCAGACCAAACAGAAAAACAATTCGACGAATCGTTAATAATTGCTTGTTCGAACATTTAATTTAATTTTTCAGTTTATTTATTTTTAGATTTTTATTAGACCAGGGTCGATAATTTTTGAAACCAAAAAAAATAAAAGTAGGATGAAACCCATTGGAAAAGGAGAAGAATATAATAAAAATAAAAGGAAAAATAAATTACGGGCGATCTGACTTTGGGAAGTGGGAGGGGGGGTTTTAAGGGTAAAAAATGGTTTATCTCGATTTCCGGTAAAACTACAAGTCCTATGGAAAAAAGTTAAATGGCAAAGTTGTAGGTAATAAAAGGATCTACAACTTTTGTAATTACAATTTTTTTACATAACCTCCAAATTTATGGGAAAAATTCAAAAAACCAAGTTTTTGGTTTTTTATTTTTATCTTTTTATGTCCCAAATACACTGTAATTTATTTGATTTGAAATATTTATTATTTCGCCTTATTTTGACTTAATATCAAAAAAGCACCCTAATTTTCAATCGAAAATTCTCGCGTCAAAATATCAGCTTTTTTCAAAAAGTCGGTGTGCTTTTTGTTTGTTGAAATCTCTACTTTCTGATGGTGTAAAAAAATTTACATTACTATGGTAAATGTTCTCAGAAAATGCAAAAAATATTATAATGAATAACGAAAAAAACTCGAATTCGAAAATTTATTTTAATCATTATGTACAATTTCATCAAAAAAATGTGATTGTTGCAATTTTTTTTAGTTAAAAAGTTTATTTATTAAATTCTAATAACATTTATGTCAGAAAATCTCATAAAATATAAAAATACATGCAAATCATACTATTGAATTTAGATACTTCATTCTGATTACGTTATTCATTATAATATTTTTTGTATTTTCTGAGAACATTTACCATAGTAATGTATATTTTTTTACACCATCAGAAAGTAGAGAGTTCATCGAACAAAAAGCACAACGACTTTTTGAAAAAAGCTGATATTTTCACGCGAGAATTTTCGATTGAAAATTAGGGTGCTTTTTTGATATTAAGTCAAAATAAGGCGAAATAATAAATATTTCAAATCAAATAAATTACAGTGTATTTGGGACATAAAAAGGTAAGTTTTCACCAAATTTCATGGAAAAAAATTTTTTTTTGAAAAAGATAAAAATAAAAAACCAAAAACTTGGTTTTTTGATTTTTTCACATAAATTTTGAGGTTATGTGAAAAAATTGTAAATACAGAAGTTGTAGATCTTTTTATTACCTACAACTTGGACATTTAACTTTTTTCCATAGGACTTGTAGTTTTGCCGGAAATCGAGATAAACCATTTTTTACCCTTAAAACCCCCCCCCTCTCACTTCCCGAACTCAGATCGACGGTAATTTATTTTTCCTTTAATTTTTATTATATTCCCCTCCTTTTCCAATGGGTTTCATCCTACTGTTATTTTTTTTCTCTTTTTACCATTTTTAAAGGCTTCTGCACTGGTCTATATTTTTATTTAGAGTTTTATTTTTAGTTATTTTTATTTGAGAAATCTTTTTTATTAAGAATACTATTTTTGTTGTTGCCCTAGTTCTCAAGGAAAAAAATCAAAACATTTTATTTTTAGGATTCGGGTATAAAATATTTAAAAAGAAAATTAAAATGTGCATCTCCACTCCAACGCAGTTTGCTTAACACTAAATCATTTAGTCTAAATGCAGCCAGAGCACAGAATATTATTATAATATTATTCTGTGGCCAGAGACTCTGGCCCAGAGTTGACCTCGCTTACAATTCGCACGCATCCGGGGCTCTGGCCAATCAAATTCTATTTGGCGTTCTATCCTTGTTCTTTTCACGCGGGTATTGAACAGCCGTCCTTTCCAGTGCGGTCGGACTTGCATTTGCAAGCACTGTATCTCAAAACTGCAAGCTAAACTATAAGTGATACAGAAAAATATTTCTTGACAAATTTGTAGGGCACAAAATTCCCTACAAAATTGTCATTTACGTTTTTTATCTACAATCAATACTTTAGTCTCCAAATACTGCTATCGTAGAAGATTTTCGAGTAGAACAGCAATTTGTGAAGAACATATTCAACTTACAGACTTGCTTTAATAGACATTTTTGAAGATAATTTCATCCTGAATAAAGATTTTAGAACCGAAATTCGAAAAAAAAATTCTTACTGTGCGAGTGGAAGGAGAAAAGAATAAAACACTGTTTTTTAATGGTTTTTAAAGGGAAATATTTAAAAATTGAATAGCAACGGCTTAAAATAAAGATTAAGAGCTTTGTAATAGCTCAAATTTTTTTTTTCTGACCGGTTATAAGATTTTTAGGTTGGATTTTGAAAAATAAATGTCGATCTAAAATGAAGCACCCTAGTAATATGATACCTCTACCTTTCCCAAACATGATGGACTTAACTTAAGCTTAAATATTAACTTACTCTTCGATTTGCTTTTTTAATTGATCCAACTCCTCGTAAAGGCAAAGTTTGTTATCACCCACATGGGGCATTTCAATTTTTAGCTCCACACATAATTTTTGAAGCTTTGACAATAGAGTTTCAACTTGACTCAAAACCTTGGAATTCACGGAGGCTATGTTGGTAATCAGCTCACAAGTGTATTTTTCAAATTCACTTTTGTACTCCTCAGCCCATAGTTTAATTGTTTTTTCGTCCCTACTTAAGGCTATCACATAATGACACCAATTTAGAAAACCTTTCTGTAAGCCTTGCGATAAATATTCATACATTTCTTGCGCCCATGGCACATTTTTTATCCTAAAACAAAAAAAAAGGATATAAAAACATACACAATGCAATATACATTTTATGACAAAAAATGCAACAAATTGGAATTGGTTTAACAAACCTTATTTGTCCCATCTAGTTTTAACAACATTTTTAAATAGCCCATTGAAAAAAAAACCTTTTTCAACAAAGCAATACCTGACAATGGGCTCTAACAAGGTGTAAAATACTTACAAGTCAAAACTAAAATCTTCGTAATAGTCAAAAGACATGATCGATGTGTTGTCCATTTTTAACGTTTAATTAACACTTAATCACAAGTAAACAAACAACAAATATATCGCAGTATCGCACACAATTTTTAAGAACGCTAAAGAAGAGGCCATTAACAAAGCGTCGTGTTCTTTTAAAGCGGCAGTTGAAAATTGAAATGAATTTAACCGTCAACGTGCGTGCAGGGATTTTGATTGGTCAATTTTGCGCACGCGCCTACGATGTTTTAAACAGGTGCGCTGTGTTATAATACGTCCAGAAGAACAAGAGTTTGTTGTTTTTATTTTATTACGAGATAGATCGAAACGCTATAATATTAGGATTAACAGCAAAAATTAAAACAATTTTTAAATTAAATGCTATAGAATAGCATTTAAGGTAAAATTGAAGTTTGAACGTTCCATAGACTACTTTGTTACTTTGTTATCTATGCAGTTGTCTCTGATATACCTAACCTCGAAGCGACAAGTTTATTTTGTGTGATTTTAATAAAAAACTTTTTATTAATAAACAATGTTGGTTTGTTCTGAGTTGGGTTGTATACGTTGTATATTTTAAGTTATAATGACGAGAATAAAGAGCCGGGAATAACTGGGAATGATATTCAGAATAATCTCATTTATAATTAAGTTACGCCATTTTTTGGTTCAGTTTTGTCTACATTTTAACGTTTTGTTTACGCATCCATTCTTAATATGTCTATGGAACGTTTAACCGTCAACGTGCGTGCATGGATTTTGATTGGTTGGAAAGTATTTCGGGCTTGCGCCCAACGACATTTTAAACAGGTGCGCTACCTGGTGAGTTATACTACGTCCAGAAGAACAGCAAAAATTTAGCTTTTTTTAAATTTGTTTTAAAATTTCCATTTAAATTATATATATTTAACTCCCTTAAGGTACAGTTACATCCACAGAACATTTTAATATAATTATCATCATATCCCTGCAAGAAGTCACTAATATATTATGATATTTTATCTTGACGCTCAATAATAAAATATTTTATTATTGAGCGTCAAGATAAAATAAATAAGCAAATAAATATATAATATTGTAGGCTTTTAAATATTATAGATATGGTAAATTTGTAGTTATATAACATACATATGTAGGTACAATTTGTTAACATTTTTACGAAATGTCAGTAAATGACTTCCAATCCATGGATTGTGGACGATATAATGTTTTTTATCTGGACTGCGGCATCGTTGCAAATTTAGGGTTTTAGTTGGTAAATACAGTTGTCAAGTTGGACGCATTGATTAAAACAAACTAAGCTAGTTATAAATCTAATTGTGGTTATGTATAAATTATTGTAGGTTACATTGTGCAGTTGTCAAGTTGAGTTGTCGAAATTCGTAGTTAAAAATGCAATTAATTTGTCTTTGGTGGTGCTTGGATGAGTAAAATCATATAAAAAAAGTAGTTAAATATAGGTTGCTTTACGGGCCAGAACAGAAAGTATTCCTAGCGGATAATAATATTCGCTTTGAAAAGAAATTAAAATTTTTTGTGAACGTAAATGTTGTCCAATTGTGAATAATATGAAAATGTGTGATGTAATATTTATAAAACCAAATTCGTTACTTTTTTACTTCAAAAATGTCCATAAGGCGATGTACTTTTGCATTTGGCATAATATCATCAAAATGAAGTTTTGCCCTCAGAAGGGCTTTTACATTCGAATTCGTTGCTATTATTTTTGGCATAATTATCTTTTTATTTATAATTGACAAGTAAATTATCAATAATAAATATTATTGTCAATTTGACAGTGTCAAAGTATTTAATTAAATTCTTTAGCAGAACTACTGGCATAAGCCACCAACCTAACAAAAAAACACAAGTCCAGATAAAAAAATTAACTGTATTAAAAAAAAAAACCTTAAATTGTTAACAAAAATGGGCTTTATTAATATTAAATGTACAGTTTATTGTTTAATACAGAATTAACAGAATCTATACTCTTTTACCAAACAGTGAATTATACAATTCAGTTTTAGCTTCATCTGTCCATTTGTATTCATCTATGGGAGCCATAAAATTGACTAATTTTGTATGAACAGCATATCTAATTTTTCTGCCTTTTGTAGCTTTGGTGTCAATTTTCCTTTTCATTTTACTTCTTAAATTTTGCAGTTGTATCCACTGTCTACCTAACTGAACAGGATCTGTAATATCGGCTGATTTAACTTCTATTAACTCCCTTAGAAGTTGATGATAAAAATCATCATCATCAAAAATGTTTGTGTTATGTTCTTCAGTGTTCTTAACTTCTATGTTGTCTTCATTAGGTTCAGGTGTGGTATCTTCTTTTTCTTTTTCACCTATAATTTTGAATTCTGATCTTCGTAATTGTGTGCGTTTTATTAATTTCTGTTTATCATTCAGGTTGTGTTGTATTTGATTGAGAACTGAATGTGAAGCTAGGTTATTCTTTGCTACTGCCATCCTAGTTTTTTCATTCCATTTTTGAATCACACTGTTTCTATAATTTGTGTATTTGCTGTGGTTATCACTTATGATTTGCTCATAGTCTGATAGCTTTCTTCTTTTCTTGGGTGATTCTTCTTCTTCTGCATCTGAATCATCTTTTTCCAACTCATCTTCAGTGTCACTGGGAATTTCTTCATCATCGTCATTGACCACTTTGTTATCACCTTTGCCGAGATTTTTAGTTTCAGGGTATTTGTTTAGTACAACTTTTTGGAGTTGCAATAGTTTGTCAATAATATTGCACACATTTGTTTTGGTCTCTGATACTTTATCAGTGAATTGTTGTCCAGATGATTTTTTTATTTCCAAAAATATTGGTTTTTGGGGTAATTTATTCGATGTTACCAGGCATTTTTGCAGCTGTATCCTCATTTCTAGCAAGTTTTCCCATAGGTTCATTTGGTTTCTAACACATAAACCTAAAAAATTTCCAATTATTTTATCAATAAAAAATAAAATAAAAATCATATTTATACAAAAAAATATTTTTTACCTTTTTTCACTTGTGCAGATGCATCAGATTCTTTAAAGTGACTAAAGTTTGCATCTTCTTCATCAATATTTTCTAAATCAATTCCTTCTTCATCAAAATCACTTCCAGATTCATCATCATCACTTTCTTCATTATCTGAGTCATTTTCTTCATCTTCCATGGAATCATTATCTCCATTTTCATCAGGATTATCTTCTTCTACAATTGCAAATACAATTTAAACCATATTATAACATTAAAACCGTTTATTTACCTTCTTCTAAATCATCTCCCGATTCATCACTACTCGCCATATCTTTCCTACTTCCCCTTTTACCAGCATACCTCTCGTCCACATCTTCAAGTAAATCGATGTTTTGCTTCCTAAACTTGCTCAACAATTCTTCATCGTCGTCTTGATCATCTTCAAAATCTTCGTTCAATAATTTCGCACTTGTGTCGTCTACGTGAGCGTCTTCAGGGTCGAACGATGCGGGTGTCGTGCTTAAAACACCTGTAATTTTCTCCGCAAGAGATTCTTTACCCCTTTTCTTTATCATTTTGCTTTTGTTTAATGCCGCACGTGTCTTTATGTTGACGCGAAGATGTCAAGTTTTTAGGTTATGTTTATTAGTAAGGTTACGTGTGCTGGCGGTTATCTAACTTTGGTTGGGTAAGATTAGGATAGATGGCGTGGAAGTATCTTTTTTAAATTAAATTTAAATTTATTTGAAAAATTAAAGGTTCGTGTAATTTAAATTGTCTACCAAATAAAGTCTACCAAATATAAATAATAATTGGTTAGAAAAATCCTTTGAATTTAGAATCTTTAAAAAATCCTTTTAATTTAGAATTCAATATTTTTGTACAGCAATTTGTTAATAGGTAATAATAAATATTATTATAATACCTATTATAGTATTGGTGGGCATTTTCTTGTTTTGGGATAAGTGCATGGGATCTAATTAAGGCAAATTAAAGTATGTATAAAATTATTTATTGGTTTAAAATCTATAAAATAACATTTGTTAATAAAATTTGTATATTACAAAAACAAATCTCATAAAATTAAAAAAAAACACATATATGTATGTAAAAACAAAAAATTGGTAAGTACTAAACAGCATCAATGTAAACCTAAATTATTTTTATTTTTTCGAATTTTTTTCTTAAATCCTGTTATCAATTTTGCGGCTCTAAAAATTTCAATTCATCTAAGTAGACATTTTTATTTATTATTTTTTCCTGTTGTCTGTGTGGACAGTGTAGGCTGTGGTACGGTCCACGTTAATTTTCCTCCTTAGTTTCGGAGTTAATTCTCTCCAGATGTCTTCTCTAACGTTATCTGCAAAATAAAATTTAGTTAGATCAAGTTTAATCCATAATTATTTGTTTTAAATGGTTTTTAACATATGTAAGTACTTTTAATTTTCCATGAATAAATTTAAAAAAACTGTTTCCCATTATTTTTTTTAATACACTCACAGGCAAAATAATCGATCCACACAAATTTTCGATGAATTTCAATCGCAAATAACTTTTTTATTTGATGTCGGATTTAAACGAATATTAAAGAATATTGTAGATAAATTAATGGACAATCGCTCACATTTTAAAAAATTACTAAAAAATTGACGTACGTTTATAATATACAAGTTTAAACAAAAAGATGTTTTTTACCATAAGTTTAAGACACTCTGTAGAGTGGCAAAACCGTATATTGTTCTAAATTAAGTTTTATTTATCAAGTCACATCTATTCTTTACAGTTTTGTTTTTGGTTCACCTCGATATATTTATTTTTGTGGAAAATATGGATTTTTTAAGAAAACATTGCAATTTCCAATATTTTTCCTATATGAAGAACTAAGGTTGCTATGGTCCATCCATAGCCTATGGAGGATGACAGTGACAGTTTTGATGAATCATCCCATACTTGGACATGTCATATACAGCTTTCAAAAGCTATCAAATTGTTTTTTGTAAATTAATGTGTTAATTTTGAGGTGGCTTCATACTTTTAAAAATGTCTCCGACTGATGTTGCCCTTTGTACTTTACTTCTTGTGACGTTTAAAACACTTGCCACGTAATACTGTGACCGTCCATCCTGGATTAAATTAATGGCTCTGGCAACATCAGTCGGAGACATATCCATTTTTTAAAGTAAGAAGACACCTCAAAATTTAAACATTAATTTGCAAAAAACAATTTGATAGGTTTTGAAAGCCGTGTATGGCATGTCCAATTATGGGATGATTCAACAAAACTGTCACTGTCATTCTCCATAGCCTATGGATGGACCATAGCAACCTTAGTTTTTCATACAGAAAAATATTGGAAATTGCAATGTTTTTTTTTAAATCCATATTTTCCACAAAAAGAAATATATCGATGTGAACCAAAAACAAAACTATTAAGAATAGATGTGATTTGATAAATAAAACTTAATTTAGAACAATATATGGTTTTGCCACTCCACAGAGTGTCTTAAACTTATGGTAAAAATCATATTTTTGTTTAAACCTGTATATTATAAACGTACGTCTATTTTTTAGTAATTTTTTAAAATGTGAGTGATTGTCCATTAATTTATCTACAATATTCTTTAATATTCGTTTAAATCGGACAAATAAAAAAGTTATTTGCGATTGAATGAATTTGTGTGGATCGATTATTTTGCCTGTGAGTGTATATATAGTTAAAAGTAACACCTTTAAAACTTTTATTTTTACTTATTAAAACGTTTTCAGAGAAAAACTTCCACAAGGGTAGAACCTTTATAAACGTTTTAATAAGTAAAAATAAAAGTTTTAAAAGTCAACCGTATATGGTTGTGTTTGCTGGGGTCTTAAAAATATTTTTTAAGTAACTTAAGTTATGGTAATTACCATTACATCTGTACACCAAATCAGACCAGATAATCATTTCTTGTGAGAAACAGAATACACCTAATCTTCCTCCATTCAGAGTGTCATCGAAAATATTACCGGAATCAGCCACCATATGTTCACCTTCAAAGATCCTCAACCTAAAATTAAATATTTTTTTTTTGCTTAAACACATTTTTTACTTTCTATTTTTCCAACCTAATAAGTCCAATTCTGGGTCTGTGCATTAAGAACCACCTGTAAGCAGTTTTTTCTTTCCATCCTTCGTTCCTTGGATCCTTCCACAGCAACTTGACCTGATTTTCGGTGTCTCCGGTGTGCCACAGGGAGTTCCTCAGCAACTGTCCAGGACCGGTTTCGGAGTCGACCAGTTTGATCTGAATGCCAGGCTCGGCAACAGCGCGGAACGGTGTCGACTGCCAGTACGTTTGGATGTTCTTTTTCCACATTACAGTGTAGAAACGACGATTGTCTTGATAACTAGAAAAACAGATAAATAAGTGATTACCCTATTGTAAATGACCGATAGAATCCAATAAAAAATAGTAACAGTAAAAAGTAATTGGTTTGAATTGGTTTAAAATGTGTTTTGGCGCTATGAATCACCAGTCCAGTTGCATTCCTATTGGTGAGTTTCAATGAAGTCAGCGGCTTAAATTGGAATATACCAATCCATGCCTATGCTTGTCTCTATTGGCTAAATCCAATAGAAATGCACCTGGAATGAATTGGTAATTCATAGCGCCAACCCATTCAAACAAATTTGTTTTTTTAAATTTGGATTAAAAATACCAGTTGATTTTTTATTGAAAAATAATTAAGATCCCAGAAGAATAACCGAAAAAAACCAGAATTAATTTTTCACAGAAGAGACAAAAAAATTATTATAACTGAGTAACTTTATTTCTTTATTATTTTTTTGAAATTTTCTCGCGTTTTTGGAGCACTTCAGAATCTAAATAATAAAAATATATTATTTAAAAATATGTCCTTTCACGAGAAGAATTTTCAAAATTTAGCTAGAATAATACAAAAAGTGCGGGACGAGGTGGGATTTTTATTTATTCCTTCAGCAGGTTTCCACATTACCCAGGAGGTACTGCTCATTTTTACCTATCTTACAATAATTATTTTTAGATTAATAAAGGTACAACCGCACAACAACAAAATAATATCAGTATATGAAACTTAACGATTTAACACTAAACTATAAAAAAACATAAATATTTTTATTTATATTTTTTGTGATTTTTACTGTGGTATTTGTATGTTAATATAGGTAATAATATATTAAAATAAAAATGATATTTTATAATTATTTGAATTATTTTTACATGAATTCACAACACAATAATGTATTTTACGCTTGCATTTTTATCACAACTTTCCATTTTAACGCTAAGGCAAAGACTAAACAGAAATAAGAAACTATAAACACGCATAGATCTAATTAATAGGCTTTGTTTACTAAAACATTCCACGCCCCGCCCAGTCTTTTACAACGACTGATAAGCGAGCCGCACAGATCTCGGGACTGACTCTGCTGTCTTCCATATACTGTGGCACAAGCCCAACTTTGTGGGCCTCAATGTCTACAAAAATTCGCGTATTATCCCCGACTTGCGGGGGTGCCGGCGGCACCGTGCAGCGGTGGGGAGCATGATGTTGTATCGGCAATGTGTGACGTATATGAAGCGCAAATTTATGGGATTACTATTTCCCTATTATGCGGTCGGGCATTGATTTAAGCGTTTAGAATTAAACTTGGAAGGGGTGCGCGCTAAATTTAAAGGAAATATTTTAAGCTTTAATGGTTATTCTATGTTTTGATACTTTTAATGACTGGAAATTAGTTTTAAAACGATTTATATTTAAATAAGTAATGTATGGAAAATTTCAAATTATATTATAATTTTAACATGTGAGGCCCGGCCTCAGTTGCTTTATACGACGAGCCGCCACTGTTTTATATCGCGCCCAATTAAACCCAGTAAGTACAATTCAGACCTATTGATACCAACCAATACTTCAATTGGTTTCTATAAGGAATTAATCGGTCATTTACAACAATTTATTACCTGAAAATAAATCCTACGTAATCGTCATCAATATCAGTATCAACGAAGAAAGTTCCTTCAAAATCAACTCCGCTAAACTTGTCGTGACCCACAGCCAATCCAGGATCGCTGTTCATAGTTTGAACAATTTCAGCTCCTCTGTTGTAAATAACCCAGTTCGGATCGATTTGCAGGACACCTTCAGGATCAAGGACCACAGTTTGGTATTTACTGAAGTCTGTTTGAAAGATAAGAGAGTTGTTTGGACAGTTATCCAGTTCGTTCACCACTGTGTCGTTATCCCAATCTGTATCGCAGATATCTCCAATACCGTTTCCTGTAAAACAAATTTAAAACATGTTAATACTATAGTATTAACATATATGGGTAGTTTTCAAAAAGTTGACCAAAATAGGAGTTTTATATATAAAAAAAAATATTATAAATTAGATATATGGGTGATTCTACATAAGTTGGACAACTTGATGTCAGTCAATAGAGTAGGTATTTTTTCAAAAGCACGTTTGTAAAAAACACAATAAATATTCAAAACAATATGTCACAATATATTCAATTTATCTTAAATTTTTCAATTTTACTACAAACTAAAACATTAAATAATGTATTCTTCATATTTTATCATAGAATAATAGCAATTTTTAAAAAATTGATAATCTTTGTACTCACTTTTACCCATCAGTTCTGTGTCCAATATTAAAACTCAAAATTCCTGCGAAATATTGAAGTTTAAACGTCAAGTCCTCGTTTTAACTAAAGTGTTGGTAAAAATTACCTACAGAGCCCGCCCTTTGCACGAAAGTCATCTTGAAAACAATGCAAGCGGCGAAGTTGTGGTGAATGCACATATAGTTCCAGTCAAAATTTCAGTACTGTGGTGAGTAGTTATTCTCTTACGTATATATATTTCATTATAATTTATATAAGGCTATATGTGATTTGTTGATAAGTAGCATCCACTAATAAAAAAATCAGTAAAATACTTTATTCCGAATTATAATCTCAAATTTGTATCCCATTCATCAGTGCCGTGTCGATATTTCGGTTATCTTTTTTTTCGGAAACTTCAATTTAAATTCTGCTTGCGCAGAACTTGTTTATTAAATGTCATTATAAACTCATATAAATTTGGTGTGGGTCCCATATCTAATATTTGAGATATCGGTATACCCAAAATCCACCAGCCGCTACTGATGTGTGGAATTGTTTGATTTTAAGATATTTAATGTATAATATGCTCAAAGTTGCAAAAAATCTTATATTTTCCAATAAATTATGTATTTAATTAGTACCCTGGTTACTCGTCACTTCGTTGCATTCAAATTTAGAAAACACAGATATTTCAGAAACTGTTTGAAAAAGTGACTGGCCTGGTCTGGAACAGTATATTTATTATATTATCTATGTTCTCATAATAAAATACTGTTTAATTTTCTCCGAAAACTATACAGGGTGTCCTGAAATTAGTGCACCATACTTTAACAGCAGATTGTATGTGCAAAAATAAGAAAAAAAGTCCCTATAAACATAGGTCAAGAAATGCCTCTTAAGGGAGCTACAGCCCCCAAAAGGAAAGCCCCTGAAGATGGTTTTTATTTAATATCTCCAAAACCGTTAAATATATAAAAGTGAGATTTGGGGAATTAATTAAACTTTTTATGACCAATAAGACGTAACAATAACAATTTAAAATTTTTTATGAGGTTTGGGTCAGATTGATAGGAAGTAGGGTTAAAACCACCTTAACTTTTTTTACGTATCTTGTACCAGAATTTGGTGTCAGATTATGAAATTTTAGAGTTTTGCACATAAAAAAGGTCATCTTGTTGAACTTCGATAACATACACCGTTTTCGCATAAAATCGATTTGAAAATTATTTTACATGGCATAAAAATTCACAATTAAATCACAACCATAGAAATGGACTCGCGTGGTCCTTGGAATACGGCTGCCATGTTTAGGAAAAAATAGAATAATTTAAGACAGGTGACAGTTTCATCTAGTAAGTGACAGGGTGTTTCTACTTTTTTATTTATATTAGATAAAAACCATCTTCAGGGGCTCCCTTTTCGGGGGCTGTAGCTCCCTTAGGAGGCATTTCTCGACCTATATTTATAGGGACTTTTTTCTTATTTTTGCACGTAGAATCTGCTGTTAAAGTATGGTGCACTAATTTCGGAACACCCTGTATAAACAAAATGAGGTCAAAAGTGGCTTCACTTTTGTAGAATCACCCATATTACATATTATTTTTATGAAATATTAATCAAATATTGAATATTTTATGCTTGTTATACATGATAGGTACGAACTAGATTGTATTTTTTTTTATTTTCATTGTAGGAAGAATAAATGTTGTCTTTTCCGTGACGCCAAAATAAAGGGCATTACAAATATTAATTTAATTTTTTTATTTGCATTTTTTATTACCCTTTCTTTGATGATTATTTTCTACTGTTTTTCATTTAAAATATCAGTCTTTTCTTCTTTTTAAGATGTGTAAGATGTGTTTTCCCGAAATATAGTTTTTGGGTGATAAAACCAAAATTTTCATGTTTGACGCAAGCACATGTTTCGTGATATTTAGCTTTAGGATAAACTACTCAGAATGGTTTACATCTAAAGAAATTGGTGAAAGAAAGTGATACTCTAGCAAGTGTCACAGGAAAGACGTGTACGCACTCATATATTAATTAATTATTTCTTATTTACACCTATAAACATAAAATTACTCACCTTGTTTAACTTTGACAGGTACTACAAACTACAATAGATATTTTACCTTGTTGAGAAAGCGTTTCCAAGTTGTAAATATTATATTGTGTGAAAATGGCGTCACGGATTGGACATTTTAAATTAAGGGACATCAACTAAAATGCTTGCCATCAAAATGTTTTAGGTTCTTTTTTAAACAATAGTAGATTATGTCATAAGGAGTAGAAGTGACTCTTTTTGTGGTGAGTACAGAGATTGACGGCCGAAGCGTAGCTGAGGCTGGCAACTGTACGAAGCACAAAAAGAGATTCTACTCCAAATAACATATACAATTTTTTTTTCAAGGGCGTAATATAAATAGGATAAGAAATAGAATTATTTTATCTACTCATAACTCATGTGGTATAAAAGCATTAGAAATTATTGATAAAAACTAAAAAAACTTATAATATAACCCTTACTTACAATGCCGATAAATATCCTAAACCATAGATAACAAAGCCTAAACTAAAAATAAACACTGCTCTGTCAAAATGCTGCGCTTGAATTAATTTTGACGTACTGACATTTGTTTGGAGTTCCGACATTGGCGACTCGTCTATCATCATAATATTATACTAATAAACTATAGTTGTTCTTTATTTCGTTCAATTAAAATTTAATAAATAATCCCTAAATATTCCGTGCGATTATAATTAATATAATTAATACATCGTGATTGCTTTGTATGATATGCTAAATTAATTTTATTATTTGACGTCTATTGGGACACCTATGGATTTACTTCTATCCCTAGGCTTTTTTGAGTTTTTTGTCTGCCGCTAATGAAAAAGATGCACTTCAACTATCTCTATACAGGCATATAAGGTTGTATATCATGGCCGCTTGAAAAAAAAATTATTAATAACTGTATACACTAAAAAATATTATACTTATGACTTATGACAATATTTTTCCAAGTTCATAAATCTTTGCTGGGGACAGTGACTGTCACCGATTGGACATTTACTATATTTCAAGGTAATTTTAATACATTTTCAATATCTTATTGGGAGATTTTGTAATAATTTAAAGAACCTAAGGATTGTTTTATCAGATCTATTCTTCACATTTCATTTTAGTTAGAAAATATTAAGTTCTAACCTCAGGACAGCAAAGGCCAACTTTTTGAAATATACCCATACGAGGTGTGTTCAGAAAATATCGGGAATTTTCGTTTTTTTATATTATATTTATTTATTCGTCTATATTAATGTTGTCGCCTTTAAAATAGTCCCCACTGGATATTATGCACATGTGCCAGATCTTCTTCCAATACTCGAAACACTTCTAAAACTCGATCTTTGGGATAGCCTTTAGTTCTTTCAGCGATGCGCTTTTAATGTCATCTATGCTTGCAAAACGACGGCCCTTTAAGGTTCTCTTAATTTTTGGGAATAGGAAAAAGTCAGACAGAGGCATGTCTGGCGAATATGGAGGCTGGGGCATCATTACAGTATTGTTTTTGGACAAAAATTTTGTTCAAAATTTAACAATTTTGGAACAAATTTTGCTGCCACGGGTTTCATACCCAAAACATTCGAAAAAATTTCATGAGATGAGCCAATCGATATACTAACATCATCAGCGACTTCTCTGATGGTTTATAACCATTTCTTCCACTTTTTCCATGTTTTTATCGGTTGTTAAGGTGCTTGGGCGTTCGGGGCGTTCGTCATCTTCAACGTCTTCACGGCCATCTTGGAAACTCTTATACCACTTGTAAACTCTTCTTTTACTTATAGCAGACTCACTATAGCCCTTTGTTAACATTTCACAGAATTTATTTCATTTTTTAAGCAAAATTGGATACAAATTTCTTTGATCCATTTCTTTTAACGAACGAAAATCGCCGTCTAACATTAGCGGCTGCCACAGACAAAGTAAACGATGAAAACAGCTAAAGTTTTTATTATAATTCGGGGGCATGTATACCAACATAATTTTTATGACAACCGGACCCTCCGAACCCGCGAAATTTAACAATTCCCGTTATTTTCTGAACACACCTCGTATATGCTAATAAGAAATAATTACCATCTTCATCTTCTTGGTATGGGTTGTAAACAAGTTCACAATTATCAATGTTGTTTGGTATCTGATCACCATCCTTATCCTTATCGCAAGCATCACCAATGTTATCCCTGTCGATATCCGATTGGTCTGGATTTGGGATCAACCTGCAGTTATCTCTGTCATCGCCTACACCATCACTAAAATTCACAACGTTAACTAAGAAACAAACACAGATAAATTGATTATTTACCGATCAGTATCTGTTGGGCTATCACAGACATCACCAACCAAATCACCATCGCTGTCTTCCTGCTGAGGGTTGTGAATTTTCGGACAATTGTCACAAACATCCCCGATACCGTCACCATCCTGGTCTCTTTGGTCTCTATTCGCAATCTTCGGGCAGTTGTCTCTCTCGTTTCGTATGCCATCATTGTCCATGTCTTCGTCGCAGGCGTCTCCTTTGGCTGAAATTTAGATTCATTGATCAAATAGGTCGGTTAATGTGTTTTCGTGGGGTATTACAGTCGCCGTCTATGTTTGATTGGTCCGGATTTTGGACGTAAGGGCAGTTGTCGCAGGCGTCGCCCACTTTGTCTCCGCCGTTGCGCTCCGAATCCAGTTGGTCGGCGTTTGGTGTCAGTGGACAGTTGTCCTAAAATATATAGTAAATATAAATAGCTATATACAAAGGTAAACATTCAATTTTCTCAGTTTCTTTAAGAAACTTTCTTGATCCATTACTGGTAATATTCATAAGAAAAAATTGAACTTACACCTCGCCAAAGTTTTTTGTTTTGAATGCGTTCCACCAACTTCAAATACCGACAGACAGCTGTTTCGACCTAGATTGGGTCTCATCAGTGTCGGGCAACTTGGTGTAGTGGAACACACTCAAAACAAAGAACTCCCTGAGTTTATATGCTCGGTTGGTAAGCCAACAGAGGCGAAGAAAGTTTCTTAAAGAAATAAAATGTACTTAGTTCACAAACTTTTGACTCCAATTTTTTATTTTATTTTTTATTAAAAATTGTATGCTTTTTTTTAAATATATTTACATATATATATATATATATATATATCAGTCACTAGTGACTGTATTAGTGAATTAAACTCTAATTTATAAACACGTATTACCAAGTGATAGTGTATAAAAATCATTTTAAGTATATTTTTTAACAAAAACTAAAAAAAGTAACGAAATAGACATTGGTATCACAACGGACAGGGGTACACAAAGGACTTAATCAGATAACGTAAAAAAGAAACTATATAGGGTGGTACGATTTTAGAGTAATGCATAAACAAAATCCCTTGTAGTGGTGCTCACTTGCAGAATAACAACTTCTAATTTCTAAATTGTAGACACCTTTTTTCTTTGACTATAAGCTGGTGAAGGTCCCTTTTAGTACTTTTATATTGCGTGGAATTTTTCCTTGGATGTAATCTATATCATGAGTTGTAATTACAAATAATTTTAAATTGGTTGATCATAAACTACTTTTAATAAAAGCAACTGTAAATATCCACTTTGTTGTCGAAAAATTCTATTGCGTTAAGCTAAATTTCATTGCGTTACCATAAGGTAACATAATGGACTCGGTAACGCAGTGGGAAAAGTTTTGTGAAACAATATTTAAAAAATAATAATAAGACATTACAGTCATTAATTACTCTTAATGAGCTTTAGTGCCCTAAAATAAACATAAACATGAAAAATAGTATTTTTTCTTACTTTATTTTTATTATTTTTTGAGTAACTTAGCGGACAAACAATTATTACATTCGCGTTACCCGCACCTGTTTCAACCGATATCATCTTTCTGATTAAATAAATAAATTCAGTGTACGTCCGAACATCATTAAATTTTGTTGATCACGTGAGTGCCAAAAAAGTTGCCATATATATGTTTTTTTTAATATTCTATCGGTAACGCGACGGACGTAACGCAACGGAAAAAATGTATGGGACATGAGTCAAATTTAAAAAATGTAGATTAAAATTAATTATTTTATATAAATTGTTTACTGTATTAACTAAGGATGTTATGGATTGCTATAAAGCAACACAAAGTTCTGGTTATTCAATATTAAAAAAAACATGTATGTAAGTTTTAAAAAACGCTAATGAGACATGCGAAAATGTGTGTTTCACAAAAAAATATTCTGAAATAACTAAACAAAAATTTTCTGAAAGAGTTTACTAAGGGCTTGTTAGGCTTTCACTTGGTTTTTAAATCAATAAAATCCGATAATTTTTAACAAAGTTATTTGAATTCAAACTTACGCAATGCGGAAGGCGGGTGTTTTTTGAAAACGACCCTAATATACAACAAAAAATTAATAAATAAAAAAAAGGACTTGTTCCACCGCGGTGTATAAGCCCGTGACTTGCACTGATCTTAATTTCATCAATTCAATTAACATTAAAAAAAAGGACCAATTGAATATTATTAGAATGTTGTAGGAATAAAGAAAAAAGCATGCCTGGTAAAAACTTGAAGATATGAATTATGAATATGAAAATCGCAAAAAAATAACGATATCTACCGTAGGTAATTTTCAGAAATTTATAACTCCTGCTTAAATTATCGTAACCTCATTTGACCGGTGGCTATTTTCTTCGTTTTGAAATGTAGTTTTTGATAAAAAAAACAAAATTTTTGTTTTCACTGTTTTTTCTTAACTTTGACCTTAATTTTCTTAATTTTTACCTTTTTTCAAGAGCGACATTTTTTGATTTTTTTGAAAAAAATATTTGTTATACAAGACTGTAAACCAAATTTTTTGGACCCATAATGAAATTGGGAGTAAAATATCTTCGATTTTTTAAGCCACTTTTTAGTATTTTTTAACCATAAATTCGAGTTTTTTGAAACTTTTCTAATTTTTTACCAAAATTATAATTAAAATTGATTACCTTATTTGGTATATTGAAATAAAAAAAAATGATTTTTATATTTTCATATATTTTATGACCATAAAAGATTTTTTTATTGTTTTAATCTACAGCACAAAATTTAGTTGAATTATTTTATTATCTTTGATTTCTTGTCCTCTTTGTCGAATTAATCGTTGATTCGGGTTGATTGCGACTCGCAATTTGCGAGTATCTTTTCACAATCACAATCGATAATGAGAATCATTGTAAGTACGGATATATTTTACAGAAGAAATACAAAAACTAAAAATAATACAAAAATGTATAACAAAGCGCCAGAAAAAAATTAAAATATTATGATTATTATAAAAATTAAAAGAATAAGCGCAGAATTATTTATCAAGCATTGGAAAATTATTTTTTTCTAATATTAAACGTGAATTTTTGATATTTTGATAGAAAACTTTAATAAAGTCATAAAAAAATTAGAAAATTTTCGAAAAACTTAAATTTATGGTTAAAAAAAATACTAAAAAGTGGCTTAAAAAATCGAAGATATTTGAATCCCACTTTCATTATGGCCCTAAAAAACTTGTTTTACAGTCTAGTATAACATATATTTTTTTCAAAAAAATAAAAAATTTCGCTCATCAAAAAAAGTCAGATTTTAAGTTAAAAGTTAAGAAAAAACAACGAAACAAAATGTTTGGTTTTTATATATATTTTTTCAAAAACTAAATTTTAAAACGAAGAAAATAGCCACCTGTCAAATGAGGTTACGATAATTTAAGCAGGAGTTATGAATTTCTGAAAATTACCGTATCGTTATTTTTTTGCGATTTTCCAAAATTCATATCTTCGGGGCTTTTGAAAATTAAGTGCTCAAAATTTAGGGTTAGGCGTCTTTTCATACGCACAAAAACATATCAAAAATTTAACTGAATCAAAAAATACAATTTTTAAAATTTGGAGATTTGATATGGAATGACCCATATGCTACTTTTTATTCATGCTACATATATCACAACCATATCCCAAATATATCAGTAATAACCAAAAACATTCTTTTGGGAATATTTCTATGAAATGTTGGATCATATTTCAAGAATATTCTAAGTATATTCAGAACTGCTATGCACATTCTTAAAAAAATTTTCCAGATATATGATTATTGATTATCGCTTGAATGTTCCTGGTATATACCGAATATGTCAAGAATATTTTTAGAGGAGTGTTCCTGGTAACTTATATTAAATATTTTATAAATATTCCTGTAATATTACGAATATTCTTGGAGCATTCACAAAGGAATATTCTTAGAATATCCGACGAATTGCCATTGGACTTTTATAAGTATATTCCAATATTCTGAGAATCTTTAAAGCATATTCCAATGTTTAAAAAAGTTTATGCGGGGAACATTCTAGGAATATCTAATGTTTTTTTGGGATAATGAAAGGATGTAAGGAGAAATTAAAAAAAAGAGTGAAAAAATGATAAATATGGGTTATTCTACAAAAGTTGGACAACTTGATGGCATCAGTCAATAGAGTAGGTATTTTAATATTTTTTGTAAATATTTTAGTATATTACAAAAGATCCAGGTTTTTTTAACTTGTCCACCCAATTTTAATGTATTTTTTCAAAAGCACGTTTGTAGAAAAACATAATAAATATTCAAAACGTCAGTACCTTGGCGTGTCACAACTCCTTAATCAAATATTTGAGTGATTTTATTTTAAAATATTTTCAATTTATCTTAAATTTTTTAATTTCACTACAAAATATAAAACATTAAATAATGTATTCTTCATATTTTATCATAGATTCGAATAATAGCAATTTTTAAAAAATTGATAATCTTTGTACTCACTTTTACCCGCCAGTTCTGTGTCCAATGTTAAAATTCAAAATTCCTGCGAAATATTGAAGTTTAAACGTGAAGTCCTCGTTTTAATACAAGTGTTGATAAAAAACTACCTACAGAGCCCGCCCTTTGCACGACAGTCATCTTGAAAACAATGCAAGCGGCGAAATTGTGGTGAATGCAAGTATGGTTCCAGTCAAAATTTCAGTACTGTGGTGAGTAGTTTTCTTACGTATATATATTTCATTGTAATTTATATAAGGCTATATGTGATTTGTTGATAAGTAGCATCCACTAATAAAAAATATCAGTAATATACTTAATTCTGAATTATAATCTCAAATTTGTATCCCATTCATCGTGTTTCGGTAATCTTGTTTTCGCAAACTTCAATTTAAATTCTGCTTACGCAGAACTTGTTTATTTAATGTCATTATAAACTCATATAAATTTGGTGTGGGTCCCATATCTAATAATTGAGATATCGGTATACCCAAAATCCACCAGCCGCCACTGATGTGTGGTATTATTTGATTTTAAGATATTAAATGTATACTATGCTCAAAGTTGCAATAAATCTTATATTTTCCAATAAATTATATATTTAATTAGTACCCTGGTATACTCGTCACTTCCCTTGCATTCAAATTTAGAAAAAACAGATATTTCAGAAACTGTTTGAAAAAGTGACTGGCCCGGTCTGGAACAGTATATTTATTATATTATCTATGTTCTCATAACAAAATACTGTTTAATTTTCTCCGAAAACTATATAAACCAAATGAGGTCAAAAGTTGCCCAACTTTTGTACAATCACCCATAGATTTTACTTACATCTGTGTATGTCACTCCATCGCCGTCAGCGTCAGGATCACAAACATCACCGATTCCATCTCCATCGGCATCTTCTTGTCCCGAATTTGGTGTAGATGGACAATTATCCTGAAAAAATCCTTTAACATAGAAACCAAATATCAAATAAAATTTTTGTTACCATTTGGCAGTATTTTTCGTTACAAGGCAGTTGGACATCCGGCCATCTGTCGATGTCTCTATCGGGGGCGCAGTAGAGTCCGTTTCCGGCCCATCCGACCCTGCATTGACAGCTTCCCCATAAACATTGCGCGTTTCGGTCGCATTGTTGTCCGTTGCACCAGCCCTCGCCCCTGTGGCATCCGATAGATTGGTTGCCTACGAATCCGGACTCGCAAGGACCGCAATGGTATGAACCCTAAGATGAAAGACTATTGTAAGTAGGGTTGGGAAATTTTCATTTTTTGCTTGTACTTGAAATTCCACTTGAAATTTTCATGACATTTATGAAATTTATTAAAATTTCCTAAATTTCTAAAATTTCATGAAATTTAGGAAATTTATTGAAACATTCAATAAATTTCAATCACTTTAAGTGTAATATATTAATATTGAAATAAGCCCACTCGGTGACCATGGTAAATTGCCTCTCTTACCTCCTACCCCTCTGTGTGCACCTGCACCAATAATATAAATAATAAATACCTATGTTTACCACAAATTTCTTGAGATTTCCTTTTAAAATATTTTTTAAATTACTAAAACTAAGAAAGATATAGCACTTTTTGGTAAGCTAATGAGATTGTGCCACTTTAATTGTTTTATATTTATTTCTTTTAAATATTTTACTGAAATTTTACGAAAATTGAAGAAACTTTATTAAAATTTTGTGAGCAAAAGGCATTTTTTATCCGTTTTGATTTAATTTACAAATTACATTGGTAACTGAATTAAATTATTTAAATTAATTTATGCATAAAGTAACAATAATTACTTATAGTGTATTCAAATCCAAGCCGAACTAAACAAAAACGCCAAGATGCTTAATAACTCGTTCTTATTGGTCGATTCAGAATCTGTCCCAGGGGAGGCCGCATGTGAAATTTATGCGAAATTTTCAGTAAATTGCGAAACTTTCAATGAAATTTCTGAAATTTTCACAGGCAATGTTGAAATTTTCAGATTGAAAATTTCATTTGAAATTTTTAAAAATTATCTTTTCCAACTAAATGAAATATTTCAAGTTTGAACCTTGTAAAGGATTAACAAAGGTTTAACAAATTATTTCGTTAAAAAAGTACACGTGATTTCAGGCAGCAAATCAAAACATTTCCCACAACAATAAGCTTCAACAAGTTCAACTGACTTCAGCGTCTGCAACATATGTTCCCAAGCAGCATTTTAACCCTGGAACTGCACTCATGGGTCTCAAAAACCCAGAGCATCATTTCCCACTATGTGACATGCGCATGAGTTATTTTTGTGCTAAAATAACCTTGTATAAATTAATTTTATAGTTAGCCTAATTGAAGTACGTGTCATTTGGTGTAGTTTAGTGAATCCACATGGAATAATATTTATATAAATACGAGCATGGGTAAGTCAGGCCCAAGTGTGATGTTTATGTAATTATATCGTTTCAACTTTTATGTTTTATGAAATTGGCTTCATCTAGCAGAGAAAATCGTCATCCGTTAACTGAAAAGGAATTAGAAATATAAGCAGCAAATACATATATGGTACAATGAGAATAAAAACGACATCGTTGAAGATATTTTTGGAGACGATTCTGATGAAGAGCATGCATCTCTCATATAGCGAAAGTGAACAAGGTGGAAATGAAGAAGAGGTAGTGGACGAACCATAAGTTAGACGTAACTTTTGTGAAAAATGGAAAGATATAAAAACTAGTTTAAACTAGTTCAACGCAAATTTGCGGGTTGTCGCAGGCCATATGGCCTGATATATATCACCTGGAGCATAGAGCAAAGGCTGTGTTACGAATATGAAGATTAATCTAAAAGAAACTGAACTGAACTGGCTAAGAAAATTAACTAAGAGTGTTTAAATTTTATGTTTATTTATTTTTATTATTATGTTTTATGTTTTTTGTTGGGAAAAATTGTTATTTTTACGAAATATATCCATTTTTATAAAAAAATATATATAATTTTTTCAGCGCATTCTGATAAGAATAAGAAGATAAGTTATTACAGAAATGCCATAAAATTTTAATTTTTTCTGTTTTTTTGCTCAAAAAATCATTTGGGTTTCTGAGACCTGAGTGTGAAGTTCATGTCGCAAAAATTAAGTGTGATGTTCCAGGGTTAAGTTTAAATAACTACAAATTTACTACTATCAACTTTAAAGTATTTTTACGGTTAACCAAAACGGTTTTATAATGGTATAAATACGAAAAATTTGGGGATTGGTTTATTTCGTTATTTTATCTACATAATAACCTTTTTGAACTTCCAAGAGAATAACATAATATAAACAGTATAAATACCACAATTAAAAAATATAACTGAAATTGTCAAAACTAATAATATTTTGCATTAAAACTCAAACGCACATTATTTTATTGATAAAAATAGAAGCGATACATCTTAAAAATTATATACCCTCTAAATATTTTACGGCTTTAAGAAAAATTATTGCCTGGGTAAAAAATCAATAAAACTTAAAACCTACAAAATTTTATAAAATCTTTTAAAAATCATTTAGTTTTAATAATTTTTGAAAAACTAAATATTTATGAAAAAATATTATATAAATGCTTAGATGCCATCTTAAAAAACTCATTATGGCGACCTGAAAAAAATTTTACCTTAAAGTTTTATTTTTCACTTTGAGCTTATTTGTCCTTGTTTAGTCAATATTAATAGTATTTATTACCACTAATAACCCTAAAAAATACCAGGCGAATAGGAATTATTTACGGTTATAGAGTGGTCTTAATACCGTACAATTATGACTTGTGAGTAACATTTACCGTTGAGTAAAAATTCTGACGTTAAAATTACCGTTAAATTTTCCTTTAGGTGAAATACACTTATAAGTTATTGTCTTTCGCAAAAATTACGTCCCGCATAATACTTTTTAAAATAGGTAACAATAACATAAATAAAACTTATTAATAACTTAAAAAAACTTTTTTACTTCAATGTAAATTTTTAAGGTTAATTTAACAAAATATTTACTTAGATTAAGTAATATTGCCTCAAAGCTCTCAAATTTACCAAATTTCTTTATAATTTGATGATCAGAATGGTGTGTTATTCAATTATATGTATGTTATTTTTGTGTTCATTTATGTAGGTACCTATGTGTTATTTTTTTTTGTTTGGGAAATTTATTAATAAAGCAACATTTCTTATCAAAGTTTCCAATTTCCTTGTGTCTAAAAAAATGGGTCTTGTAAAAATAAGTTACTTTTTGAAAAATACAAGAATTATGGTTAAATTATTGACATAGCATATTGTCATTACTTAAATCTACAAAATGTCTCTAATAATTACAAACTACTTATTCAATTGTGGACCTGGATTAACATAAAATCTGGTTAATATTTGGTTAAAACTAACAAATATATTTTAACTGTGTAGTTATTGGTTATAAAAATTATATTTATTTTATCTTACTTCCGTGTTGATGCATTGTGAATGTTCAACGCATACTCTTCCCATGGCACACTCATCAATATCGACGCATCTCTGTCTGTTTCTGGCCGCTTCCTCGACTCCGACTCCTTGGACATCGGAACTTCCGGTGAAGCCGGCCGGGCAGCTTCCGCATCTGTAGCCTGGCGATAGGTTGAAGCACTCCACGTTGGGGTCGCAAGGTTGAACCAAGTCACACTAAAAACAAATAAAATTTTTATTTTTATTTTTTATAAAAGTTATCTTCTCACTTGCTTCGTTATTATTGGAGCTACAAAGTCGGTTAAATTAGCAAATTGACTGCATTTTTTCTTATTATTAAAATGGTAAAAACAGAAAAACAATTGAACTTCAGGTTTCCGAAATATAATTTTTGTTTAATGGAACACTATACCTTTTACATGTTTTGAAAAAAATTTAATTTGGACCAAAAACTTATTATTGCATAACTAAACTTAAAAAATAAACAATTAATAAGCACTTAAGTTAAAGTAATATTTATTTCATAATCATCAAAAACTGTAAGTGCTTATTAATGCTTATTTTTAAGTTTGGGGTAGTTATGCAATAATAATTTTTTGTTCCAAATTAAATTGTCTGCATACTATATTATGAGAAAATTCTCTAAAAGGGTTGGATTTATAACAAAAATAGGTAAGAATCTGTCAATGCATATAAAAGTGTTGCTATACAACGCCATTGTACTTTCAAAAAACAATTCTGTTCAGGTTTGCTGTTTCATTTGCCACAATATAAAATAAGCCAGAAAAAATTCAAAACAGAGCTATGAGACTGATATTAAAATGTAAAATGTAACTAAAACAAAATATGTTACCTGAATATATCCGTGATAAATTAAAAGTTTTTAGAGATGTACATAATTATAATACTAGAAATTGTAAAGACTTTTACTAGATAGATGTAATACCACACAAATGTTAAACTCCGTTTTATATACCTAATAGTTTAATTGAGTTTAATAAACTACCTGTGAATATTAAAAAATGTGATAGGTAAACCACGTAGTTGTTGGACACTTAAGGAATATTATTTATTTAAAATATAAATATGCCGTTGTTTTAAAGATTTTAGTTTTTTTCTTATAAATATATAAAAAGAATAGTTTATTTGTTTAAACTTTATTTACGTTTACTTAAAAATAAGAATATTTAAATTTTTAATAATAATTTTATAAAAACATGCAAAAAAGTATAGACATTTTATATATTAATTGGACCATAGTTATTGGAAATACAATTTTTATATAAACATAACTTTACATCAAATAACATAAATTGTTAAATATTTTTTAAAGATAAATTGCTGTTTTAGGTAATTTTTTTATTTCGTTTTTGTAAATATCATAGAATTCATATATTTCTTTCTCGGATTACTCATCCCTTTTCTGGATTCTAAAGGTAACTACTAATTCCTTGGTCTGACTTCTGAAATAGTTTGTTGCAAATATCATTAAGTGTGGTATCTCTAGTTTGTGAAGCATTTATAATGTTTAGGCCGGAATTGGATGATTTATATATATATATATCTAATATTTTTTCGGGTGGTATGTTAAAAGTATTTTCCGAATTTATTTTGTTGCCATTAGTTTTTTATGTTCTCTATTATGCACTGTATTTAAATCACTGTTATTCTGCAAGATGTCCTGTGCACATGTGACGAAGAAATCATTAGATTACTTACTCTCTAAAAATGAATTAGTCAAAAATGTCATAGCAAAAAAGCAGTCACTAATAATTCTCGTCAACAGCAATTTGTATCCAGGACATTTAGCAGTCAATTCCTATGAAATATTATTCGCTGAATCCGAAAATGTGGTCAAAAGTTATATAAGTAGAACAGTTTTTGAAATATAATTAATTTTACATATAATATGGAAATAGTTTTTGATGTTCTTTTCGGATTCAGGGACAATTTTACATAAGAATTGGCTGGTAAATGTCCTGGATACAAGTAGAGTATGATATTGGACATATGTCCAATAATATAAATTTGCATTTTTTACTAATCAGTAATTGGACACTGGCCAAGTCACGTGTGAACTTTTTTGTCCTATATTGGATCCAAAATAAAGAAGTTCTATATTATTACCGACTGAGATATTTATAATTTTATACAGCATCATCTAATGATTTGACTTTAAGGTAACCATTTATAGAACTCTTGTTTTTACAGTATTAATGCTAATTGTCCAATAACTATAAACTGTCTACTTTACCCTAATATAAATCAGTTTAAAAAACTTTTGAGAAGATTTGTTTTAAGCTAAATATGCATTTTGTCATCTTTATATTATATTTACTATATTATATCTAATTAAGATTTAGTTTTCTATTTATAAAAATGTTTTTTTACTCTTATTGTAAACTTTTCTATTTTTTAGGTTGTATTTTTTTGTGTTAATATGTAAATTTTTATTTTTATATAGCACTGATGCTAAATAAATACATTATTAAAATTATTATTATTATTGAAAATATGTAAAAATATAATAATTAAAATTAACATAAATGTATTAAAAATATCTTAGGAGATATTAATTATTAATATCTCCTAAGATATTTTTAATACATTTATGTTATTTTTAATTTAGCGAATTAAAAATATATGTATGTTTAGCAAAAATACAAATATAAGAAGCAAATATTTAAAAAAAAAATATCAGTTTGGCATAAAAATTAAATCTAATTTTAAAATATCTGCTCGTATGGTATTATTAATTGGAAGAATAAAAATTCTTATGTGAAATTTTTTATCTAATTAAAAATATCACTCTAGGGTTAACAAATAAAATTAATTCCTAAATAAAAAATAAAACGGCGCTCCATAGGAAAGAATTCAAACAATATTTCAAATCAAAATAATTAATAGTTGTTATAATATGCGGTAATAAATTTCTGTTATTAAAGTCAAAGTAAATGTCAAACAATTTAAGCCTAATATTTTTATCAAAGTTAATGTCAAGCACTAATTAGCGGGTACATTCATGCGGGCATTATGCCGCTTAGTTTATTTCTGAGGCTTTATATAAGCTGCTTTTATCAACTAATGAAAATAAAAATCCAAATTATAACGTTCAAGTTATTTGCGTAGCATTTGCATTAATTTGTTAACATTTTACGAAATACCGCCGCCTACTTGATGGGCGTATGACAAAGGAATGAGACAATTTATGAGAAATATTCATTCTCGTTTAAATGATGTATGTAGATTATTAGGTACACAGGTAGAGATAATCTTGTAATAAAATATGCAAACCCACGTCATGTTGTTTTTGTTTGTAAAAACATTTTTGTTTGTCAGTGAAAAAGGTAGGTATGCAAGAAAAGGTCCAAATATAATTAGGTGGATACCTATGTCTAAAATGAAAATATGACATGTTTATCTTTGCATTAATAATATTATTATGATTTCAATAAAATATGTTTTAAAGCATAAAACATTCAAACAATAAAGAATAATTTAAATAATAGGAAAGATACTTAAATAGGGCGTATTATCCCGGCGCATTCGCCAAATTTGACAATTATATTCAATATGTTTATTTTACAGTGTTGCAGTGTTATCTGCAGGTACAATTCATTTTTTATATCTGGACTAATATTTTTTTGTTAGGTGGGTGGCTTATGCCAGTTTGACTTAATATTTTTAGTATTTAAAATTAGTACTTCTGCTAAAGAATTTAATTAAATACTTTGGCACTGTCAAATTGACAATACTTTTTATTATTGATAATTTACTTGTCAATTATAAATAAAAAGATAATTATGCCAAAAATAATAGCAACGAATTCGAATGTAAAAGCCCTTTTGAGGGCAAAACTTCATTTTGATGAAATTATGCCAAATGCCACAATGGAAGAAAAAGTACATCGCCTTATGGACATTTTTGGAGTAAAAAAGTAACGAATTTGGTTTTATAAATAATACATCACACATTATTTTCACATTATTCACCATTGGACAACATTTAGGTTCACAAAAAATTTTAATTTCTTTTATATAAATTCTTTTCAAAGCGAAGATTATTATCCGCTAGGAATATTCTCTTCTGGGCCGTAAAGCAACCTATATTTAACTACTTTTTTATATGATTTTACTCATCCAAGCACCACCAAAGCCAAATTAATTGCATTTTTAACTACGAATTTCGACAACTCAACTTGACAACTGCACAATGTAACCTACAATAATTTATACATAACCACAATTAGATTTATAACTAGCTTAGTTTGTTTAAATCAATGCGACCAACTTGACAAATGGATTTACCAACCAAAACCCTAAACTTGCAACGTTGCCACAGTCCAGATAAAAAAAATAAACTTTATTAATTTAACAGTTCACACTAGGATGTAATTTAAAAAAATTAAAACTGATTTTCAACATTAAAAAATAGCCTAAAATAATATTTGTTTTTACTTATTTTCTCTGGGTCCCAATTATGCATTTTAAAAAGATTTTTTTATAATTTAATGGACATAAGCGATATACAGTGTGGACGTAAAAACTCACCCACCCTTTATTTTTAAAACCGGTAGGTTAAGGGGAGGAAATTTTATTTTGTTAAACTAGACAATAAATAGGAACTATTTTTTTACATAAAAAATTTTTTATTTATTTTTTAATATGTCGTACTGTATAAAGGTCACATTTTTTCAATGGCAAGTGCGGTCATGTGATACTTTGTTGAAAAATTCTTTGCAAGCTGATTTTTTTTTATCTGGACTGCGGCAACGTTGCAAATTTAGGGTTTTGGTTGGTAAATAGAGTTGTCAAGTTGGTCGCATTGATTAAAACAAACTAAGCTAGTTATAAATCTTATTGTGGTTATGTATAAATTATTGTAGGTTACATTGTGCAGTTGTCAAGTTGAGTTTTTGAAATTCGTAGTTAAAAATGCAATTAATTTGGCTTTGGTGGTGCTTGGATGAGTAAAATCATATAAAAAAATAGTTAAATATAGGTTGCTTTACGGCCCAGAAGAGAAAGTATTCCTAGCGGATAATAATCTTCGCTTTGAAAAGAATTTATATAAAAGAAATTAAAATTTTTTGTGAACGTAAATGTTGTCCAATGGTGAACAATGAGAAAAAAATGTGTGATGTAATATTTATAAAAACAAATTCGTTACTTTTTTACTCCAAAAATGTCCATAAGGCGATTTACTTTTTCTTCCATTGTGGCATTTGGCATAATTTCATCAAAATGAAGTTTTGCCCTAAAAAGGGCTTTAACATTCGAATTCGTTGCTATTATTTTTGGCATAATTATCTTTTTATTTATAATTGACAAGTAAATTATCAATAATAAATAATATTGTGAATTTGACATTGTCAAAGTATTTAATTAAATACTTTAGCAGAAGTACCATTTTTAAATACTAAAAATACTCAAACTGGCATAAGCCACCAACCTAATAAAAAAACACGAAAAAAATGAATTGTATTCTTTAGATTCTATATAGGGTATATCCGAAATTACAACAAAAAAATCCCTTTTTTGAGTACCTAACTACAGTTTTCAACATTTAACAATCTTATAAGATATATATTTCGGAAATTTGGAATTCCAGTAATTTAAATCTAACCTATGGTAACACTTTTTGACATGTGTGAATTAAAATGTATGTAAATAATAAAATAAAATTTATGTAAATAATAAACTAAACAAAGTAGGTACAAAATATTCACACATTACAGTAGAATAAATAATACTGATAATAATAAGCGAATAAGCGTTTTTATTATTAGATTAAAATTGTATAACAATTTATCAATTAATATAAAAAACTGTGATAATTTAATTAGTTTTAGGACCAATATAGGTATTATCTTTTGTAAGAACAAAAATTTACTTATTTCTGATATTATAATACGTTAACGCATTTTTATTATTTTTTATTAATTCTCTAGTTCAACTAATGAATCTTTTGTAAGAACAAAAATTTACTTATTTCTGATATTATAATACGTTAACGCATTTTTATTATTTTTTATTAATTCTCTAGTTCAACTAATGAAGCAATAGCTTACTTTGTTCAATTTTTTTGAGCCTATAAATGTCTCAATTCCAATTGAGTGTGGACGCTTGCGAGCGAGTGCTTAGTTAAATAAGTGTCTAGAAAAGTTTATAAACGAGTTGCATACTATACTTTTTCTACGCCAAATACTTTGTATTATCTAAAATTGATTTAAATTAAATTTTTGTATAAAGCGACATTTATACAAAAATAGAGTAACCGAAAGAATGGAAATCTATATTATCAGCGGCAAATGTCACATTTTTCTGTGTAAATAGAAATTTATCCCATGAAAATGGACTAACAACCGTTTAAATCCGATATAGAAGCAGTTTTTCACAAAAAAACCTTATCCTGTTTTTTCGAAATTTATCTTTACAAAAATTTTGTCTTCTAATTTTCTATTGATCGAAAGTTAAAAAAACCGAAAACCAAATGAAAAAACTTTTACTTTATCTAATGAATTCACTGTTTAATTTTTTTCCAATCTTTATGTTACACCCTGTATTAAAATGAAATTTTTTGTTTGCCACAGGAGAGCCAACTACTTTTCTAGGGTAAAATGGCCGTTGACCAGTATTATTAACTGAGTTTTTAAACTTTATAGGTATTTAATAAATTTAACCTAATAAAAAATACTTTTATTATGTGGTCTTAATGTACGAAACGTAATTCCCATTGAAGCAAACCATTTTCAATAAATTCCGGATTAATATCAAACTCCCAAATCGAATCTCTATCCATTAAATTATACCTACTATCCATTAAAGCTTAAAATCATGAAACGTTGTTCCTACTCATAATGGCACTTACCTCATCTATGTCGTGACAATTAGTTCCATTACCGGTAAAGCCTGGAGGACATCCTTGGCAACGGTAGTAGGGATGTTCCTCGCTTGGATAGCAATTTGTTCCTACGATTCGAAACAGAAAATACGTATGTTAGATTTATTTCTTCAGTTGTGTGCATGGAAGGAGAGCAGACAATTTAGTTTTACTTGAACAGTGTTTGTTAGAAGAAGCTTTAGTTTTTAAGGTAAGATTGTAAATTATTATTTTTAATTAGGTTTTATATATACATTGTTTTAGGTACATAATTAAAAATATGTCTGGAAGGTGTACATTTTTCTCATTTATTCCAATTTAGGTATTTATAACCTGAAAACTTTTTATTTTTGTCATTTTAATTCCTTAGCTATTTAATAACATTTTTCGTAAATTAAACAACAAAACATTTTACTTTTAAATGCAGTCAAAAGCATGTTAAACTCATATTTGCAAGCAAAAGCTGCCAATAAGTGATTTTTTAAGATGTATAATTGCAGAATCGTTGTTCCTATTAAAATGCCCTTAATTTTTGTATTTACATTTTAATCTACCAATTAATTTACCAATTCTGACTTTGTAGTGTTTTTTTTTATAAAAATGAATTAGTCAAAAATGACTAATTACACAGTGCAACAGCAGAAAAAATGATGGGGTTCTGAAAGTGGTTTTCGTTTCTCCTATCCAAAGAATGCCTTTTTGCGGTTACAGAATGTTTAGATTGATTCAGGTTTTTTTAATATCGATTTTAAGGTTTATTAATTTTGGAATCCGAAAAACCGTTATTCATTAATTTAAACCAATTAACTGGTAGGAAATTGTTGTCATAACAATAAATTAAAAAGAAATAATAAAAAATAAAACAAAAATTAAAAATGGGGGTAAACATGTCACTAAAAGTAGATTTGCTCCATGCACATCTTGACCTGTTCGAAAATCAGCTGACCACCGAATCAGAAGAGCGTCAAACAATAATGGAAATGGAAAATCGTTATAGAGAAAAGAGGTTTGATTCGATGTTGGCAGATTTTTGTTGGTCTATGGCAATGGAAATTTTGGCATAAAATTATAAACAAAATTTGTTATATCTTTTATGTTGATTCATTCTATTTGTTAAAAAGATTAAGTTTTTAATAATTAATATAATAATAATAATAATAATAATTACCATAATTATTATTATGGTAGAAACGAAAGAACTAAGAAATTGCACTACACATATTAAATCCAGAAAAAGGTTGAATTTTTTTAAAATTGCATTTTATTTTCTAATTATTTTATTATTTAATTATTTTTTTCTTTATTTAATTGTTATTACTTTATAAAACAATATACAAAACCAATAATTATCTTTTATGTACTAATTATTTATTATTTTACGATATTTCGGGATCCAGAATTACTAAAACTTTAAATTGATATTAAAAAAAAAACAGAATCAATCTAAACATTCTGTAAACGCTATAATTCATGATTTTGATTGTAGAACCCCATCATCTTAATTTTTTTCCGAAAATGTTGCACAGTGTTATTAGTTATTAGTGGCTGCTTTTTCACTTGTACCATGGTTAATCATGGGATACCATGGTATCCCAAAATTTAACAGCTCATTTTTATGTAAAATTTTTCCCTGAATCCGAAAATACAGTCAAAAATTATGAAAGTAGAGCAGTTTTTGAGATATAGTCAATTCCAAATTAAATGGAAAATTTACTATATCTCAAAAACGGTTTCACTTTTTGAACTTTTGACGACATTTTCGGATTCAGGGGACAATTTTACAAAATAATTGACTGTTAAATTTTGGGATACAATGGTATCCCATGGTTAACCACGGTACAAGTGAAAAAGCAGCCACTAATAACAGTCATTTTTGACTAATTCATTTTTAGAGAGTACAGGGTATTTCATCTTTAAGTACAACGTTATATTTTTCATTTAAGCTTTTGTGTTCGAATTATCAATCTTTCTTTGTTTTTGCATAAACCTGTTTATCTTCGTTATATGATATAAATTTTTTGGGGGCATTTTAATAGAAACAAATATTTATCATATTAAAAAAATCACTTATTCAGACCCATTGATCCAAAGCTCTTGAGGTCATAAATAAAAATACCATTTGGTAGAAATTTTTGGAAAATCGATTATGAATAAGACGCCACTTTTATTGATAGGAGAAACGTGGTAAAAATTTAAACTAGTCATTAAAATTGCAATTTGCTTAATAATATTTTTGTTAATTTTGTTTCAAAATAAAGTTTAAGATATTTTCTATCGAGAAATATTTTTCCCAAATACCGCTTGTGATTAAAAAATAACTAGATAACTTTAATTCAAGCTTGTTGTACAAATTCCAGTCTTTCTTTAATCTTATTAAATTAAATTAATTTTGTTTAAGCAAAATTGACAAAATACTTTATATTGTTCTACCATTTTAAATGTTTTAAATGTCCCATTTACAAAACAAATTTTTGAAATTAGTTTGTTTAACAATAATTATTTATAACATTTTTTAGATTGTTGGAAATTTCCCAACATGTAAACACCAAAGAAGCAGACTAGATGGACTAGAATTTAATAAACTAACTGGAAAACAATCATTTGCTGCCATATGAGTAGCAGACAATAAATTGACTTATTATTTTCTCAGCCTTAAAAGGCATAAGAATTGTCTAAGTGGAACAAACGCTCCAACCAATTATAGTTTATTGGGAAATAAGGCGTTTAAAAAATCATTGTAAAGGCGAATAAGGCTTAATAACCCAATTTAATTTTTTATGGTAATGGAAATGGTCGTTAAAAATTAAAGCATTAGAAACTGGAATTTTTTGTATGTAGTTATTTAAATTTTGTTTGTGTGTTTTAATAAATAAAGGCTTTATATTTATTTATTATGTTGTTTATTTAATTTTTATATTTTGAAGGATATGTACCTACTTTCAAGGATCTACGTGTTATTAATATTTATATCAACCCACAATTTTTTTTATATTGTGTATATATGTAATGTAGTAGGTTATACAATCTAGGTAATCAATCCTTTTACATTTTTATTAATTGCACTGAATCAAAAGCCATTTTGCTGCAGGGCAAACATTTACTTTTTTTTAAATCATGCTTTTAACATAATAAAATATTTTTATTCAATGCCCATTTCATATCTAAACTTTAACTGTTGCACAGTAGGCTAGAGCGCGCTTCCAGCGCGAAGAAATTCAAAATAAGTAAGTGTTTTATTTCGACCAAATTTAGGGAATTTTGAATTGTTTAATATCTGTAGATAATAAAACATCTTTAAATCACCTTCAAATCTGTTGAATTTTTATCAGGTAACCAGTCAAAGTTTAGGAATTATAATTACTTGCTTCGTGGTGATAAATTGCGCGTAAAAGTATTGCTTCTCTTACAATGTTTATTATTAATTTATTATTACTTTTTGACTAAAATTGTATTAAATATTATCATACGTTATGGCTGGAATGAATAATGGTTAGTTTTTATTATTATTGTACTGTCACTACCTTAATAAAGTAACCGCTGCATACTTTTAATGTATGTATGGACATTATTAAGGTTTTAAAAAATGTCACTCACTGTCACACTCTGTGTTTAGGTTTTTTTAATACCTTACCGTTCTGTCTTTCAAATAAATCTTTAATCAAGTGCTAGTAGGCGCAACAAATATGTTTTTTTTTTCAGTTAATACATTATCTCTAACTCATACGGAGCTTTGTAAAAAGTGTTTTAGTTTGAAGCATTTCAATATAAAATTAGTTTTAAATTACTTATTAGACTACGCATTTGCAAAAATAGATGTATCTCAAAAAAAAAATTAATTCAATTTTTTTTTAATATGGAAAAACGCTTGAAGCCCAGAACAAATATCATTGTATTAAATATTGTCATACATTGGTGATGGAAACCATCAATTTAAAAGCTACTAATAACAATAAATAATTTTGATACTGATAACTATTAGTGAATATTAATACTTTTTGCCACCACCGCAGTAGGCTAGAGAACGCTTCCAGCGCGCGAAAATTTAAAATGAGTAAGTGTTTTATTTCGACAAAATTTAGTAAATTTTGAATTCTTTAATATATGTAGCAAATCAAATATTGTTATATCACCTTCAAATCTGTTGAATTTTTATGAGGTAACCAGTCAAAGTTTAAGAATTATAATTACTTGCTTTGTGTTGGTAAATTGCGGGTGAAGGTTTTGCTTCTCTTAGGGCCGGTTTATCAATCTCTGGTTAAGTTCCAGTTAGTCTATCTGACAGTTAAATTCCATATCGATCGTTGTGAGAACAATGGTATCCATGGAGATTATCTGTCAGATAACTAACTGCAACTTTAACCGTACATTGATAAACCGGCCCTTACAATGTTAATTCCTAATTTATTTTTAATTTTTGACCATCATTGTATTCAATACTGTCATACGTTATGGCTGGAACAAATAATGGTAAGTTTTTATAATTATTTTACTGTCCCTACGTCAATAAAAAAAGCGCTGCATATTTTTTATGTATGTATGAACAATACTAACGTTTTAAAAAATGTCACGCATTCTCACACTCTCTGTTAAGTGTTTTTAATAGCTTACTGTTCTGTCTTTTAAATAAATCTAAAATCAAGTGCTAGTAGGCGCCACAAATATTTTTTGTTTGAAGCATTTTAATAGAAAGTTGGTTTTAAATTACTTAGTAGACTAAGCATTTACAAAAATAAATGGATCTCGGAAAAAACTTAATTCAAAATTTAATTTTTTCAAAAAATATAGAAAAACGCTGAAAGGCCAGAAGTAATGTTATTGTATAAAATACTGTCATACGTAACAATTAGGTTTTATTTTATAAATGTTCAGTTATATTTTTTTAATTTACTCATTAAAACTATAGATCTTAATTTTGCCATCACACAAATATACTTTTGTATTATATTGTGGTTTTGTTTTTCTATTCGTAGTAGAAAGTAACTTTTATTAAAATTTCATCAATAAGACCAAAAAAATTAATATTAACTAAGAATTACTTAACCAAATAATTTCTGCGCGATAAATTGGCTCTCCAGCCCACTGTGCGTTG